ATATGAACGAATTGTATTCAATTCAATTCAATTCAAAATATACTTTATTGTCTTAAGTTATCACTTGTTGACAAAGCTTGTTATACACATAAAATACATAAAAAATAAATAAATGAACAACACTAGTTTTAAAATAACACACTTGTTGACAACACTTGAAATGTATATAAATAAATAAAAATAAATTAATCCAACAGACAAAATAGATAATGTAAATATATATATACACAGCAATTTGAGAGACTCTAGTTAAAGCTTCGCAGAAAATATTCAGTCAGGTTGTACAATGATGTTTGTAGAAGTAATGCTTTCACCTTAGTACGGAATTTTTTATAACATGCGATTCCTTTTATGTCATTTGGCAGATGATTGTATATTTTTATTCCAGAGTAAATAATAGAATCCTTAATCATAGTGGTGCGGGGGATTATCAATTTTATTTGAAATGACTTGGTGAGAAATATTCATAGGAAATATTGGAACTTTGAAATTTTTCCACCAAAACCTGAATTTTGGTATATTTTGACTTAGTGAGTTTTGGCATTAAGCCCACGATATGCCTGTTGTAATGGATACATGTTTCTCCTTCTTCAATAGAAAAAATAATTTTTTCTAGTTGGAATCATATATATCTGGTAGCAAGCCTAGGCAAGACCTGAAACATATCGTTTTTTACCCTTCGGGGGAAAAACGTTTTATACAGGGTAACTCACGGTCGATGGTACGTTAGACGTTTATGGAGAACGGGACATAGGATCATTCTGAAATTTTGGTTACTTACGTAGTTGCTCTTGGTCTATCGATCTAAAATATTTTCAGCTCTGCAGTGTTGCCGTTTCTATCGAAAAGTAGCAACAACTCTGTTATTTTGGATGGAACACCCTGTATTTTATTGCATTTTTAGATTCTCTCTGAAGAGCTGATTTCATCGATGTATCACACTTAGGATCTAGCGGAAATGATTACAGAGATATAGGGTGTGACAAATCGACATTTTTCAACTCTAGGAATTTTTTTTGTCGAAACTATTCATTATTGGTCAAAACGGCTCACATGTCCCTATCTCAACTTTCGATCAACTATCTACGGACATTTAATTGAAACAAATACAGGGTCGTGCAGAATTCAGAATCTTGATCACCCGGTATATGTCCCAATTAAATATCAGTAGATAGTTAATCAAAAGTTGAGATAGGGAAGGGGATAGGGAAGTTCCACACTGATGTTGGGTAAATCGGTTCTTCTTTATTGGGCATTATTTACACCTCAGTTTCTGTGGAGGCTGTTGGTTTTGCAATAGTGCGACAGTCGGAGTACTTGGTTTGCCAATAACGTTGATTATTTTTTGTCGAAGTAGAATGGATAAATTTGAAATAGAAGAACGCTTTTGTAGATGGTGTAGTGTAAGCTGTTTTGACAGCTCGGCAATTAATGTTCTCCCTGGTCTCAACTGAGCGGTGTTATGCTTCTGAATTATCTGTGCATTTATTGTAGCAACATTCAGTAACGAATAAAATGCAGTTAGCGGCCAGCGATTACTGACTCTTGCTACCGAGTATTCAGATTTCAAGCGATCTACCACGTCCACTCCTCCTTTTTTACAATTATAAAATGTGTTGCGTAACGAACTATCGAATTACGAGGGAAGGTTGGAGATTAGTAGACTCACCAGAGTGGACTGTATCGTGATGTGGACTTGGATGTTCTCGTCCGATGTAGATGCGGTAGGCCTACCGTTCAGCTCCCATTTCCTCGAATGTCTATTTTAATGATTCTAGCACTGGACATCCATTGATACACGATTTGTAGCACTAGCGAAAAAATGTTTAACAAAAGGAACCAGTATTTTGCAAGAACCACACAAAGATGCCGGTCACTCGTCTCTTCATGACTATATCTCTTCGTCCATGTGTCTATCCCCCCAACCTTCTCAGACACGCGCTTTTTCATACAATCTCTATATACGCGCATTATTGGTACCACACCATAGGCAACCCATAAAGCACAGATAAACAATACATTTATATATATCGATACAGGAATTTATTCCAAATGCTGAAATATTGATTAAACTTAATGAATTTATTATTCTTATTAATTATAGTAGAAAATTAATATTAAACACAAACAATGGGGACGAAACAAAATGTTATGATCTCGGGTTTTTTAGCTTCTTTGGTAGATGCATCTATTGCATCATCATCATGTAGAGTGAATATCATTAGGACATTTATATTTGTCTTGGGAACATGGAAACGGGAACACAGCTGTTGCCATCTTTTCCAAAACCGAACATACTACTGCACATAGGTCGATTTTTTACTTGAAGGAATTCTGGTGGTATTTCACGTTTATTTTTTCGAAGCGTGCCAACCATCGTGAGTTTGTGATTTACAAGCAAATCATTAGCAAGTGGTATGGAAGAAAAGTAATTGTCCATTGTCACGTTTCGTCCAGACTTATCAATAGTGGATATAAGACGTTCACGACACTGGAAGCATCATTTGGTGAACAATACGGAACTTCTGGTTGCTTGCCAGCATATATTTCCATGTAGTGGGTGTAAAATGCCCTTGCATCAGCTGTATATTTTTATACCATATTGGGCAGGCTTATTCGCGATGTATTGTCTAAAGCGGCACCTTCCACGAAAATCATCCAACATTCCATATATCCTAACATATTCTGAAACTGCTAGATCTCATAACTAAGAGATTCAGGATGAACAGAGTTGCCCCAATTGTCCGCAGGAGCGAGACAGTTCTGTTTCGACCCACCAGGTCTCATCAGCCGCTCTCGGTCTGCTGACAACTGGGACAACTCTACGCTTCGGGTATATCACCCATTTCGAAGACGCAGGGTATAACATGAAGTTATAGTCATATTGTAGCCATCTAGTGGCAAAGCTCTAAAGTAGGATACAGAAATCGCGACACACACTGTATGGTGCTGCCATCTATAGTCACACGTACAGACCCCTACGTCTATACGCTGCAGAGTGGTACTACAAGTAAACCACTCTGCTGACAGATGGCACTACCTGACATACTTGAGTGGAATTTTTTTCTGAAACACTGAAATTTTAAGAACACGCTTTCACAAAATTGTCAAAAATGAACCGAATTGGAGCTAAATCATCATATCTGATCCTATTTCCTGGTGTTCATATCGTCAAATCGTAAAGCCCGTAGAATGTGATGAAATCTTCGTTCTGACATCACAGCTGCGAGATATTCTGGTGCCGTACCGTCGGTACTCTTCAATCCAGAAGTATTCAAATGCTTCCCCTTTTTGACTTTTGCCATGTATATAAGCCTCAAGAATGCATACATTTCGTCAAAATCGATAGGTGAACAATCTCTATAACGCGAATATGATTCCCTTAGTATTTCTAATTTTTGGTTCAATGACTGCATCATTTGAAAAAATAATTTTCAGCAATCTAAAGTGGTTGTAGCACCTTGACAATGGCCTTCACTCCGGGTAGTTGTGTTATAAGGATATGTAGAAGAAATCATAACCAATATGTCAAGTTTTATGAGCGGAAACGAAAATTGTTAGATTTTTTTTTTAACATAGCGACCAACCCGGGTTAAATGAATATTCTTTCAGTCTGCGAGGAATTATCCCACAAGGTTATTTCGTTAGATGAGGATAGAATAGTGAGAAATGCGACATTTTGATAGCACTAATTGATTCTTTCAGATTCCCTAGTAATAAATTGTGTAACAGACAACTGTTTACTCAGATTATCTATGTGTTCGAGCCAATCAAATTTACTGTTGAAAGATATTCCTAATAGTATGACTTTTTCGTTCGTGATTATATCGTTGTTAATAGAAAATACAAGTTTTTCTGGCGTTTTTGGGTTGGTTATAGCCATTTGTCCACTTTATGCTGACTAAATTGGTCGTTTTTTTTATATGGTACTAAGTTGTTGGAGTGGAACAAAGTGATAACATCAGCATAGAGAATATATTTGAATGTTTCTAGATGACGTATATGTCATTAGTATTAAATTGTATGAATTAAAATCAGGAGACACCATGAATTCATTTCTTTGGAAACAAAAAACAAAATAGCAATTTTCTGATACTTTTTTATTGGTGAGACTGAAGAAGGGGTGGAGGAGGAGTGAGAAAATGCAACATAATCAATTGACATGATGAATCCATCACTACGACTTCTACACGTCGTTTAGTCGACATATTATTACTTCGCGGCCTGCTTTACGCGACCTTCCGTTTTGCTAGCGCGGTACCGTTTTGCTAGAATCACACCAATAATCATTTATTTCTGCATAGTTTCGACTATAACGCTTTCAGTCGATCATGATAATCAGTGTGTTTTATTTTACATTGCGACAATTTGTTATTGTATCCATCAATTGTCTAATAGTATATTGTTTAACGAGCACGGAATGACAGTGATTTCCCACGAGAATGAAAGGCGAATTCTGCAATCATTCGAGTGGGAAATTAGCATTCCGTGCGAGTTATACACTATAATTTTTCTACGGATGTAACAGATAACAGCGGCATTTTTGATTTCTTTATCTGGTAGCCATCTGATTTCCTCTCAAGTAATGCTCATCTATTAGACAGTGCTGTCATTGCATGAAATTTGACATTCCATGAGCGACGAGATTTTTTTTAATAATAACACAATAAAGTCATTGTCATATCAGATACGAAAATGAAATTGATGACATACAAAGTACCTCATTGATGCATCGAACACAAACAAGAGCAATTTTGTGTTATAGCCGTAGCATCTCCTGAAGATGCTAACACAGTTTGCGAAACACGTGTCAAGTTGTAAAAAATCGGTTTGGTTAGTGGTGAAACAGTGTGTAGTATACAACATAATTTCATAGTCAGCAATGCTTTTTTCCCTAGACATGTATACCACCCAACGTAGAATCCAAAATTTGTAAAATGGTTTTTCATATTATGTTTTTCCCTGTTTATTCAGCTTTTTTGTACATTAATGATTAATAATTCTATACATTGTTTTTCTTTTTCAGGGTTGTGTCAATATCTACGGTTTTCGTGAATAAAACGCTTCTGAGTGATATAGATTTGGATGCACCTATGTTTATAGCACTCAGTCAAACTCTTATCACTGCGTTGATTTGTTACATGAAGAAATCGCTGAGTAAATTATTTCCCAACAAATTCAGGTTTCCAGATGTGGATATTTGGGACTGGTACACTGTGAAAGCAGTAAGTGATTTAATATTCTATGCATTTTACTTACATACCTACATACTTTATAGTTATGGTAATTATTTTGTTAGAGACTGAGAATTTTTATGAACATGTCAGTAAGAAAGCCAGCCACAAATTCCGATTGTCATCAGAATGCCAAATATCCCAAAGGTATGTAAGAACATTGGATTTTATCGATTCACACCTGTTCCAATCAGCATCCTGAGCGAAATTATTGAAAAATGGCACTTCCTTGTGCGGTTATTTGCGCAAAATTTTCGCGAGATAAGAATGGGCATTCAATTATTCCACTGTGTCGTTAGGAACCTATAATAATTTTTGCAACACTTCTTATGCTTGTTTTATGTAAATAAAGGGTCTATGCGTTGTTCGAAATTGTTGAATTTTAGAGCTCATTTCAAACGAACCTTTATAGCCGCCATTTAGCGATACGTCGCATAAATGGTGACGTCAGTTTTTATGCTGTTCCGTAATTGATCACATAATCTTCCATTTCCACTCATGAAGGAAGGTTGTCATGTCACCAGTTATAATCAAGTTATGAAAAAGATGCTAGAATCCTGTCGTTGAAAAAAACTCAATAGGAGGAACCCATGATGTTATAGTTCCTTCTTGACTTTTTCGAGCAACCAGCATGTCCAAATATTCATTATTCTCCATAACAACATATCATATGAATGTTGGAGACTAGGTAACATTGTGCTGAATGCTGCGAACTGACAAGACCCCGCCCACAAGTCGTGAGCCGTGGCTGTCACGTTCACCGATTCAAATGTCTATTGTGTGAATTAATTTATTATTATTATAAGCAATAAGCGGAAATCATGAGGGAACATTTTGAGACAACAGAATTCTTATTGCTAATCAGGAGTATTACCAATACTCGATCGAGAATCTATGAATTATCGAATATCTAATATTTCTGAATTCCGAAACGTATTTCAACACAGCAACTGTGCTATGGTCAGCCCCTACTTACGAAATCGTGGCGTCAGTTTTCACTGGCGGAAAATTTCTATCCGTTTGAACATTATCGTGGCATTATTGATGATTTTAACACCCACAAATCGACCAAAAATTTAAAAAAATGGAATTGAAAGGTACATACTAGGGACGTCCCAGGGAAATCCACTTTCAGACAAAAAGGACATCCGAGGGATGTCTCTTCTGGTACGTCCCTGGAATGTACCGAGTACGAAGAAGGGATATCCCTAGGACGTCCCAAGGATATTCCAGAGACATCCCTACGACAAAAGAAAAAAAATGTTGGTCGAGTAGGGATTGAACCCGGGACCTTCAGCTTATCAGGCACGTACCTTACTCCATTGGCTAATATGCCTTGTGAAGATTCATGTATTGAACAGGAATGGAATAACCTGTGGATGTACCGGACGGGATGTCCACTGGACAACCACTGCGGGATATCCCCTGGGTGTCCCAATCATGTCCTTGTACCGTGAGGGGACGTACGTAGGACATCTCTGTGTTGTTAGGGTATGCACTCGTTAACACGTGGCGGAACTATGTCTAGAATGACGGCAGCAAAATAAATCGTTGTGCCGTGGATTTAATTCAACTTGAGGAATGGCATAGGTAGGATTCAGCCCAAATTACCGCACAGGAAAGTCTAATTTTTCAACTATTTTCCTCAGAATGCGGGGTCGGCAAGGTCATTAGATGACGTTGCGATGGCATTTAAAACTACTAGCATAAATTGAAAGTTAGACATGTTTTCCCGTAGTTTTTAATGTCACCGCGAATAGTGATTGCCACAGGCGTCGTTCGATACAATACAATATTCTTACATACGTTGGGGGCATATGGGATTTTTTCATCAAATGAAGGTTAACATTTGTAGACTTCTCTTGGAATATGTTTGTCTGTACTCACTTTCCTACTTTGGGATGTAAAACTCGAATCTGAAATCTCACGATTAAGTTATAATACCACCAAAGGCGAGTTCCAAAAGATAATGAAAAATTCTATTCTCAGTGAATATTCCGAAAAATGTCAGTTTGCGCAATATTTCGATTCTAGATTCATGCTCTACGCATCAAAGTACGTAAGTACAGACAAAAATTTACGTAAAATGACATGTTGTAACTAACAACTCTCAATACCTTTATACAAGGTGTTGCGAAATTCGAGTAACAACTTTTCACATAATATAATAGCTTACTTGATTTGATAAAGAGTTATGCTGGAATGTAAGGTTCTCATGTGGTTAGTTTCAGAGAAACAGCAGTGTATTGAAGTTGAAAAACGAAAAACTTTTTTCAAAAATAAAGAAGAAAAAAATGTTGACGATATAATAACTTCGGTTAATCATCCAGTAACCCGCCACAGGTTTTTTTTTCTCATATTCTCATTTCCCTACATCGCTGATGAAATTGTGAATATTTTCATTTGTTTTTCAAATCATCTGATCAATCTTGATATAATTTGACTGAGTTGAATAGTTCTCTAGATATAATTAGAAGTTTCTATAGTTTTCATGATTTTCAATGGTAGAGAATTACAAAATTGTTATTTTTTATTTCTGCATGAAATATTTATTTCGAATGATGTTTGATCAAATATCTTGAAGTCTGTCCAGTCTCAGTTCAAGGTAATGCTTTTATTGAGCGTAATTGAACAGGAAATTAGAGGAATTCAAAATACCAAATTAAAATTTACAAAATCAATTTTTATTCTTCAATAAGAACACCTGTATTTCGAAAACCGAACACTTAAAGACCTTGTGTATCTAACCAAGGCGTTATAAAATAGCTTTGTTGGTCGAATGTCGCAACAACCTGAATAAGAACTAATTATAGTACAGTATGATGCAAATGTATGGAATAAATTCATTTCAAAACGAGACGAATTCCGAAAAAAATCCAAAAAGTAGAGTTCAGAACTTTTTTATCGATGTATTTTTTCAACTAGACGACCCTTCGATGTTCAATTCTCAGTAGAAGATCTCTGCAAGATTCAGTTAACCAAATGATAATCCATTTTAATTTCAATCTTCTTTTGCAAAATTTTGACTATTGGATAGACGATCAGTAGACCTTTCAAACGACCCCTGTTTGTATTTAAAAAAAACCGTCCATTACGTCATTACTCCAACACCGGTGACGTAACATCTCTCATATGAATGTCATGAGATGAGGTTTCGAAAATTAAAACTCACGTGTTTTTGAAATTTCTTCAAATGTCGCCCATTTCTGAAATAATGAATTTATTCCCTACATTTGCATCATACTGTATATCAAGAAGTACCTACTTATTTCATATATTAACATTTCAATTACATGAGTTACAAAATGTTCAATAATCGTGTGAAATCATTTCAAGAAAGAAATTATTGCACCTATTCACGAAAGAACGGAGAAAATAAAAAATATGCAGTTGTGTACCCCAGATGTTTTCCAAATTTTGAAATTCTCGCCCTTACAAATGAGTACTCCCTTATAAAAAGGACTGAATACTATGTTATGGGATTTGCTTTGATATTGCATTCAAACAACGGGTAACGCCTTGTTTGATACGTGCCTGAAATATTGAAATTGCTTTACTCCATTCTACAGGGTATATCTTCTTGAGTTATGGCGATCTATATATGGGGAACTAGAAGTAGCATGATTGTCAGAATTTGTAGGTTCCAAGGTTGGTAGAACTGATGATAATGTTTAATCTCGGTCAATGTCATTTAGTCAAACATTTAATTTTGGGATTATAAAATCTATATCCTATAACTACTGCCCCAAGTAAATTCATAAACCCCGTTGTGATCTATCTTGTATAGATTGAGTCACAAATTTCCACTTCCCCTCAACGCGTTTTGATCGAGGCAACATTCAACATTGGTAGGGGCGATGGAGAAAATATAGAGAATTCAATGAAATATTCTCCTTATTGTGAAGCTTCCAGTTTTTCCGCAAGTGACGTTATCTATGATTCTAATTTATGTATCATGTCCTATTCTTGAAATCAACCTTATTTGAGTTATTCAAGTTTTTCAAAAAATGTGACAATCGCAGCCTATCCAACATACGCCATTTTCCTGTGAATTACAATTTTTAGTGTGGCTCACCATACTCACAAACACTGAATAATTTACAGGGTGCGCAGAAAAGTTGGTCCAGAAAGTGAATGTGAAACATTGCATTCTCCATGTGATAAAAATATTAATTCTTTCTCGGTTTATTCAACAGAAAACAACAACTTTCCTGGGTATATGCCACGACGAACATTGAATTACATCTATTGAACACACACGATAAGAATTTGAAAACAAAATCTTCTGAAGTAGAGAATTTGAATTCTCCTTCATATAAAGATATGCACATAATATCATTCTGGATATTCAACAGAAAACAACTACTTTCCTGGCTATTTGCCACGTCGAACATTGAATTATATCTGTTGAATATCCAAAAAGAGAGCATGAAAAATCAAAATCCTCTGAAATTGAGAATTGATATTATCTCTCAAATCGAATAGAATAATATGATGTATTATGATATAAAAATATAACTTACCAATATGTACAGTATTGAAATGAAAATTAAAATGTATAGGAGAAGTATACTTGTATGAACTTTGATCTTGATGAGCTTGGAACTTCAAAAAAAAATCATTCGTCTCAGTGATATGGGAATTATATATATTATCATATGCGATGTTAACCTCCTCCCACTATTGTATCATTCATGTAACGATAGCACTTTCTATTGACTTCTTATAGACGAATAGATCCAATGAAAGCGCGTCAGCGACGTAACATACATGTTTATGCAACAGTGTTGTCAGGTGAGGTTAATGATAAGTCTAGGTGCATTTTATTAGATTTTGTTACGTGGTTGAGGCAGGTGAAATGTCTTTGAATAGTATGCCGTATTCATAGTAAATATTATTAATTAGATTCCCATCGTGTATTCATTCATTTATACTTGCCATTTGATGATGGTGATACTAGTTTGACTGGTCTCAAAACCGTGATAACCCCTGTCCCGTCCAAATTATGATATTTTGATGGTACCTCTGTGGAAGTGTTGGCATAACTTGCAGCAAAATCTTCTTCTTTGAAGGTTAGTCTATTCACGGGCCAGATACCTGGTTTTTCCAATGCCTTCGTGATGTTTTTTCTGTGTAAAACCAGATTGAAAAGCAATCTTTGTCAGCGAAGCAATTTGCTTGATGTTGATAGTTTCTCCAGGGTTAGATGCCATCCTGTCATTGGAAGCAACAGAATAAGTTTGGAATGTTCCGTATATTGCGACATGGAGATGGCGAAATCATTATACCATTATCACGACAAAAGTATATGGCTCTTATTTTTGTGTGTGACTCGTGATTGTTTGGAAGGTGAAGTATTTTTTTGATCTTCAGACCTTTGAGTGTGTCTTCGAATGTGTTCTAGTACTTTGAGGAATAATTCTCATGTCATCCAGCCGTTGAGGGTACCCAGAACAATGCTGGAGCATCAAATAACTATTCTTCGGGGTGACAAATTCTAAGGATTCCATTGACTGATGGTTATGCGATTCCTACAGCATTACTAATTATTCCTACTAGTGTGTAGTCGATTCTCGCTCAGCAGAGGAGGCTAGGCTCACTTGTTTTTAGATACTATTTTGACTAGTCTCGGTACCGTGATAACCCTTGTCTGGTTCAAATTATAAATTAGTTCGGGTTTGAAATTCCATTTTTCAATTACTGATAAGTTATTATCGAAAAACTCCGAAACTGTATTTTTGATGGAGCCTGTTGCTCTAGCCAAACTCGTATTCTCAAGTTTTCTCAACCTGATTTCATCTTCATTTCTTTTCAAGAAAAATTTCAAAATTGTCATTCTGTGTCAGCTTTCTTTCTGTCATTCCATTTATACCCATAGCTAGTTCAGCTAGAACACGTTTTGATTTATTTCATCAACTCATTCTCCTCATCATTCGAGAAAACTTGGCTCACTGTATATTTACTTGAATACTGATGAAGCTCATTCTCCCTTTCACTTTCATTTCCTGAATCATTATTGTACAATTCAGTTGATTGTGTCGAATAATGTTTGTTCTTGAGTTTTTGAAGTCTTGAATGTAAGGTTCCCTGTTTAACATTGAAATTGTGTCAACCGTCCGAACTGCATTATCTATGTTTTTTTAATCATGTTTATTCTATATTTTTTTTTTTTTTGGTCATAATTAATAACCATCCGAAATACAACTTTTGGATTCAAATAATCTCTCGAAGTATGGGGCAGATCCAATCACTGGTTGAAAGTACACCGACTGAATATGGTTGAATATGCCCCATGTCGACTATTTGAGAACTTATGATATGAGCACTATACCTTTTGAGGTTGAGAAGAACATGGAATTCACCTCGATCAATGACTCATATTTTTAAATATGGAGTTTCACATCACAAATTGAAAACAAGTAATAACTGATCGTGGTACTGCGATTATGCACTTTGATTTTTATTGAAAAACACAAGAAACCACATACAGCGACCATGACACATTGAGAGTTATGTTTGGAGATGTCGAGTATAATGCAATTTCTTCGCGCGCAAAATTAAAATGATTTAGAAGATATAAGGTGTGGTTGTATGTGCCCCGTGGTTGAATTTGCCCCTCTTCACCTACATACATTGCATGAATATACATAGTGACTGGTATCGTAACGTATTAAGGTGCAGAAAACCAAAATGTCGAATCCAAAAGCTGAATGATTAGAAACTCTGATTCACTACCAATACGTTATATCCTACATCCCCAACGGTTTTTCATGATGAGAAAATTCAGTTTTTTACGAAATTTCCTGTTTTTACGAACACTAGAATAATTGAAGGAAGCTGAGAAATTGTTCTCTCCATATGTAACTAGCTCCGACATTTGTGGGGAGGGGCTACTGCCTCAGGTTATCGGAAGAAATGATTTAGTGAGTCTGAAATATCACAAGGAACTACCACATAATAATAATTTTGATAAATAAAAGGTAGCTGAACATAATCAACAAAAACTAAAAATGAAATGATTAGTTATTGAAACTAACTCAACTAACGTGACAAATTTATTTGTCTTTCTTTCGCCGCATATCTATTCATTACAGGATTATTTATTTATTTATTTATTTACACTGTTCTACAGAAAAAAAGATTTCCAATTACAGAACAGGAACTAAGTAAAAATTTGCACAAAAGTAAACAATAGAAAACAAACAATAGAAAGAAACAATTGAAAAAACTTGGCATAAAACACAATTTACACAATAGGGATATGATCAATATAGATGTATTTTCCTTTAAATAATCGTTCCTGGCCGTTCGTAACCAACTCAAAATTAATCTCATTATGGAGAATTACCTTTCACACCTTGCAGAAGATACTGGCAATGTTATCGCTACTGTTATCGCTACTTGAAAAAGCACATATATAATGATGGAAATACTTCTAACGTGAGTTCATTTTTGAGAGTGTCATATTTTTTTGTTTGCTGAACTATTTTTCAGAACTGTCATTTCAGCCTTTATGACATTTTTTTCAAGCTCAAAACACTGCATAATGATTAGTAAAATCTGTGGATCTTTCGTAGTCAAGCGCGAAGAATTTGTCTATAGCTGCCGCGATTCATCTTGATATCAAAAACCATACCACAGAATCTATAATCCTATAGAAAACATTGACTTTCTAATATTCGACAACATTTGGAGAATCTGCACCTTCTGCAGCTCCAACTGTCGAGTCAGTCACAAAATCCTTTAGTTTCACTAACACCTTCTTTTTTCTCTTGGATGATAGAGATTTCAAGGTCACGTCCACCTGAGCTGCAAAGTCACTAATTTTGCCATGTATGTGCTCATAATTGTTGTCAGAGCGCATTGCTTCTAAAGTTTTTATCACGTCTTTTATTACTCCAACCGCTTCTCCCAATGTTGCTGTTGTTGATTGGAGTGACTGGGATGAAATATTTAGTATGGTGAGAATCTCTTCCAAGACCAACAAATGGACGAGGAAAGATGCTTGTTTCATACAGGATAGTATACCGATGGCTGTTACGGCCTGCTGGTTTTGCCTATTCTCAATTTCCTGCTCCAGTAACTAGATCGTGATACCTATCTGGTGTCTGACAGTTGGGGTACCTTAGTTATTTTGATATCCAATTTATTCATGATATTTTTGTATCTTACATGATGGTGCGGTTTCGAAAAATGGTCGTAAAAGGCTTGCAGAGTATTGAAAAAGTTTGCAATGAACTGTACGTTTTGCAAGTGTCAAGAAGTGCTAAATTGACCCTTTGTGTCATACAATGCGTATAAATTGCATTAGGATAGGTTTATATGATTTTGGCTTGCAAACCTTCAATTTGTCCAGACATCACAGCTGCACCATGATATGACGGTCCCACTAAATGCAATTCAGATAGTTTCAAGTCCACGAGCTCCTGATTTATCAGGAAATATAACTCTGCAGCAGTTGTTTTTCCTGAACAATCGATGAATTTCAGAAACCTCTCTTTCACTTTCAGTCCAGACGAATATTTGATACACAGCGACATTTGTTCTTTGCGGCCTGCGCGTGCCTCGTCCACCATGATGGAGAAAATTTGGCACTCTTTTGCTAGTATCCCTGTTAGGTCATTTTGTGTCTGCCAACTGGTATGATTGATATGCCTGCTGAAGTATGCAGCGAAGTCTACATTGCATTTAGTCAATTTTTTGCAAATCTCTTTAAAATTTCCCTCATTTAAGGAAGGCTCATCGTGACCTCTAATAAAAGTCCTAGCCTTGCTAGCAGCAAACAAACCTCTGCTAAGGTTTTGATGTAAGCTCTGCTCTTGTTTATCATATCTCTATGCGCATTTGACACTTGTGTACCATTATTATTTTTTTCAGATTCTACCGCTCTCACTGCTGTTTACGTCAATGATAGCCACAAATAACTTATGTTTGAAATATGCGTCAGTAGCATATTACTATATAGGAAGATCACTGACCACTATATTCAATGTAGCATTTACTTATTTAATATTAGGAGAACAGACTTCGAAGAAATGTATTGCATGTTGTGCCTTGATAATTTTCGGGTTCTGGCTAGGAGTCGATCAAGAAAACATAGCAGGTGAGTAGTGAGCAGAAACAAATAATTATTTTTTTAACCTTATTGAAGTTTCAAGTCGACTAGACTTCTTCTTAAAACAAATGAAAGGTCTCATAACATATCATATTTCAAGTCAATATCTCATTGATGCCTGAAAACTTGGTTATTTCAAATGGAACACCCTCTATTAAAATAAATTTTGAATCTCCTACGCTTTTTGCGGATGTGGCTCAACCGAATCGAGAAAAAAATAGACCGTTCATTAGAGATTCAGAATAACTCTCTAACAAAGTGTAACCTGACCTAACCCTAAAAGGTGCGGAAAAAAGCTACCACAAGTTCCTGAGGCGTAAATATGACGATCTAACTCGACTTACCTTAGTCCAAAAGTGGATGATTTCAGAGATACAAAGTGTCAAAAGTTCAATTTGATTTTCATTTTTTATAAATATTTTTTTCAATAATTGGTGTATTGTGACAATAATATTCGGCTTGGGGGGGGTTTACTGGTTGAGAAATTAGAATTTGCTATCATTTTAATTGTAAAGTTGATTGTAGGTTTTTCTGAAGCACATTTCATACATTTCCACCTTCTTCCACTTGGTTTTTTGAGCTATTTTGATAATTCTTCAACATTTTTTGTTAGCTGCTGCTGCAGTTTAGGTGATACCATTTTTTACATCCTCCTTTACATTCAATGGCCGTTTGATTTGATTTCACATTATTTTGGCATTCACCACATGGATAGTTTATTGATGATCCGCACTAATTTTATCTTGATTATATACCATGAATGCCTGATTTTTTTTCATGTCCCACCACTGGATGGATATTTCAAAGGAAGGTACCTGTGCTCGTCTTCTGATGAACCTACATCTTCTCTGGGTTTGCTATTGCTTGAAGATTTTTTCCTTTCCATTTTTCAGAATTGTAAATTTTCATAAAACAAAAATGTCTCATGATGTAATCCTCCGAAAAAAATGCATCGTGTGCTACTAAGCAGCATGGAACTACAATGCTACTATTGAAAATATTTTATGGTAGACGTACATGCATTGTCTTGTCAAAATTCTTACCAAATGCACATGTCCCAATGTTAATCATAGTAAATAAATGATCAGAGTCACATGCTGTCATAGGGACTATCCTAAAAAACTTTTTATAGTTAAAAATCATTGAACCACTACGGGGGGACATTGAATTGCAATGTGTTTCCCATCAAGTGCTCCAAGCAATTGGGAAAATTCCTCTGCTCATCGATTTGAAATATTGATCCAGTCTTCTTCAGAGGAAGGGCTTTTCAAATGAGTAGGAGAAAGAACATCCCAAATTGCAATGTAGGTTTCATGAATTATTTTGTTAATTGTTGTAGAGCCCATCTGGTATGCCCAAGCCAAATTCATCCAAATTAAGTTCCTCCTTGTGAAAGATATCTGAAAATGAGTGATATAGAATAAATATGTGAATTCAACACATAGCAAGAGTGCGAAACTTTATGTAATGTTATTGCTAATTGTTGCTGGGAACATGAACTATCAGAAATTTGCTGTCTAAAATTTATTGGATGTACCAAATCATGCAATTTGTCAAATACTGGGACAGTAATTCTGGTCAATTTGAAAAATTGTTTTAAGTCACAGGCCTTCATTCTCAGGAAAAATATAAAGGCGTCTTTTTATCTTCTCTTTCTATTTATAGGTCGCATTTTGAACCTTCTCTCTCGTCTGTTCTTCCTCGATTTCATTTTTTCCAGAACTCACACACATAGGAGAACAACACCAACATTATTATTATTTTTTTGATAACCAAATGAATTGAAATCAAATAAATTGAACAACACCCTTCATCGACTTCATTACTTCCATATGTCCTTGATGAATACTGTAAGATATTGATATCAGGAGATGATTCTTAAGTAAAGCACTATTCAAGAATCAGTGTAATTTACTCTCATTTTTAGTCTTCCCTATCAAGTCGACATCTTCACGTCTCACTGCCTACTGCCGTGACGCATAGGACACTACTTAAACACACCACAGAACTACAAGGAACACTTAGAATGTGCCTTCTAGAAATTATTGGAGCTACCAAATCATGCAGTTTATCAAATAATGGAACAGTCATTCTGGTCAATTTGAAAAATTGTCCTAGGTCACAGGCCTTAATTTTCAGAAAATATATAAAGGCATATTTTTCTCTTCTCTTCCTATTTATAGGTAGAATTATGAACCTTCCCTCTCGTCTTTTCTTCCTCAATCTCATTTTTTTTCAGGACTTCAGCGCACAGTAGAAGAACAAACTCTCCAGAATATTATAATTAATTTTTTGATTATCAAATGAATAGAAATAAAATAAATTAAACAACACACTTCATTGACTATTCAAAATTTTGTTTCTCATTGACTTGAATATATTGAAAATTCGGATGTATATTTCCAAAATACAGGTTCGACAATTAATCAATTTGCAATCTTCATCATCTTGTTCAAACATCCTTATTTATGCCAACTTCATATCTGAACAAGGCAAATAACCGATTATGTTATTGATAAAAAATTTCCAAAATATCTTTTATTTTTTGTTGGCTTCCTACATGGATTTCTAGATAGCATATCTGGTCTATAATATATCTTCCCAGATACATGTCGAATTTTGTAATTGAAACAAAGGAGTCTCATTTTGAATATTCGAAGTCTAGCTGATGAATCAGATATCGCCTTCTTGCCCAGGGGCGTCCAGAAGGGGGCAAGGGGGGGGGACGCACGCTCCCCTGTTCCCTACCGCCTTGTCCTTACTCTGATAAATTCTCAATAAATATATAGATTTGCAGTATTCCATCCCTATTTTGTTTTTCACTCAGATGAGGCTTACAAATTATTCGACTTTTTGCCTGAATGAATACATTTATTACTCTAGATAAAAAAGCTTCAATACCCATATTCATAATAATAGCAATTTCTTTCCCTACAACTCGTGATGATGAATTAATTCATTCAGTTTTTCTTCATTCTCATTTCATCACCAGGATCTTGCTCATCCATATTCATGATGAAATCAAGTACTCCGGAACTTGCTGCAAACTGTTGAGGTTCTTCGATAACATTGTTCTCATTCCAAGTTGGAGCAGTATACAAGTTTCGAGCACTACATGGCGAAGTGATATTATTTCTCGGATCTGATCCTTGCCGCAATCTCTGAGAGTTGAAAATCACTCAGAAATATCGTCGTCTGGTAGTATTTCGGGTACAATTTCCTGTATTTCATTCTCCTCGTCAGAATCATTGGCTCCATCATTGCAATCAACCGAATCACAATCAGATGGAATTTCATCACAGATTGCATCAAATCAAGTATCTACTTCATCTTATAACTCATGCATTGTTATATCCACCAATGTAAATGGTAAAATTTCCAGTATCACGATCCATGATATCTGCAATGATGAATATGAATGATATTGGCCAAGTGGCATGTTGGTACATATGAGGGACTTGTTTACTTCTCACCATCAAACAATTATCTTGGAAAAATATGGATTCTATATGAACAACAATCACTTACCAAACTGTATTTATAGAAATGCTGTACGAAAAACTCCATTTGAAAATATTCAAATGATGTTGATTTATGAAAAACATAACAATACAAAATTTCTCATTTACTCGGTGTGCCCGTCATTATTCATTTGTCATATTAACATTACTCACATATTCAGAAGACCCTGCCACCTATGATCACTTCTATGAAACCTAGTGAAGCGTTCTATCAGATGAATATGTCTGCGTATATTGATTTTTTGGAATCTCGATTTTGAACACCCTATATCTCTGTAATCATTCATGCTAGACCCCAAGTGTGATGTATTGATGAAATCAGCTCTTCAGGGAGAATCTAAAAATACAATGGAATACAGGGTGTTCCATTTGAAAAAATCAAGTAGTACTCTGTAGATCGTTTGTTCCGAGCACCCTGTATTTTCTGATGCAACGGGAAAAAGTTCTGAAAAATAATTTTAGATGATTTTTCAAATTTTTGAATCGGTTCGAAAATAAGTGAGCTAGAGGGAAGGGGGGACATTTATGGTGAATCACCCTGTACAATGAGCTCTCTTGAAAATGAAGCTATTAGCTAATACCTACACAAATATACAGAGATACCTTCAACAGTAATCATGATGATATTCAATAAGTATAGTCACATGTTAAATTTTTTGTTAATTACTTACGTTTTCTTGTCGCCTAAGAATTCTCTTTCCACTTTGATGTTACACTTATAAAAATCTTCAATCAGCAGGCAGATAGATTCTGGCAATTTCGGCCAAAACTCTGCACTAACTAAAACATTTCACTAGTACTGAACTGAATCAGTTAATATGCGTTCTTTGGAAAGACTTTGATTAGATAGAATGCATACGCTTACTAGATACCGAATTTTAGATACCATTTTGATGGGACATTTTCACAAATATCCGCTTCATAACTTGACTGGTTAGATATGAGTAACTATGATATACATAGAAAAAAAGCTGGTTCCAATAGCTCTCCGAATTTTCAATAATGTACAGGGTGTTCTCTTTGAAATTATAATTAATGAAATCTCAGACACTTCTTCAAGCACTCGAAAAAACTGTTTTTTTCTTTCCACCACTCTGTATTGTATGACATATTTATGTATGTGTATACATACGACTTTCAATATGGGACTGTTTTGATTAAAATCAATTTTATATGATAGTGGCTATTTTTATACATTTATCAAATGTTATTAATTTAATTTACATTTATATATACACGCTTTGTCAATAAGATATTATTCTTCGATAATAAAGCATATTTTGGTTGATTGATTGATATTGAAGTAACGGAGACTAAGCTTCAATGTGGAAAGGCCACAAGTATCACCCAACTCCTAACCGCATTTAGATATCATAGTACTTCCTAACAATGATATTAGCATTTTCATGATTTTCGAAGAAAAATATTGGAATCAATATTCATTTCGAAAACGATAACATCGGTATATATAGGAAATTTTCATGTTAATTGGTTGGAAGATTGGAGATTCTAAAGAAGATATGATGTTTCAATCGGAAAATCAAAGTTGCTACTACTTTCTAATAGACTGTCCAAATATGCTCTCCATCAAATTTTCAAAGTGATCCGTTGTCGGATTCACCAGAAATATCTAATATGTCATCCACCTTGAATAATCCTGTATAATGCATTATTATTTTTGACTTGACTGTCGCATTTGTTTCAGGTAGTTTGTCCATACCTGGTTTCATATTCGGGATTCTAGGTTCATTATCCCTATCTTTGTTCTCAATTTTCACAAAGAAAGTACTTCCCAAGGTGAATGGCGAGATATGGGCACTGTCGTATGCAAACAACGTATACGCAAGTATAATTTTGATGCCATTCATGGCTCTGAATGGCGAACTCGGCCAGCTGTACAAATATACCAGACTGACTGAAATTTACTTCTGGTCAATCATTGCAGTTGGAGGTGCTTGTGGATTTACGATTGGGTATTTCACAACTCTACAGATAAAAGTAAGTATTCTTTGATGATTATTATTTTTAATGCAATACAATAGCATAATTCTGATTCGCAGTAGTGAAATGATTGATAATTCATTACCGCCATTGGATATAGAATAACTGCTTTAACATGACTCGATTTGTGAATCATACCAAGATCTCCAGATCCTCCATTTGGGGCCCTTTTGGTCACTTTTCACTTCACATGCAGATGCCAAATTGGACTTGTTGTTAGCTAACTGGGACTTCAGATTTGTTATTGAAATTGGAATCACATTGAGGTAGCATTATAATCGGAATGTGAAGTTGGAAAAACCATGCACCATTTCTGAATGTGAAGTACTTTTCGATTCTTAGACTGTGTCTCATTTCAATATCATCACCGCTTAGACAGAACCAATGTTCGTCGTGGCACATAGCCAAGAAAGTAGTTGATTTCTGTTGAATAAACCGAGAAAGAATTAATATTTTCATCACATACAGAATGCGAATTCTCAATGTTTCTCTTTATATATAAATTTTTCGATGTTTATAATTGTATATCTGAGAATGGAAATGAAAACTTGTTATTTTTATAGACCTCTAATCGCAGATTCGTGATTAGGTTTTCTCAATTAAGAATTTTTTTCCACGTCCTGAATGATAAATATCAATTGTCATTGATCCAAAAACAAAATCATATTGTGCTTCTCAAAAACTCTACATACATCTTCAATATTCATGTTTCTAGTGGAATCACATTTATATCGATGAAGATATTCAATGAGAAGACTAATAGATCTCTAGTCTCTGTCATGAAGACTTCACCAGAGGTTTCACAAGAATGCCCAATTTCACTTCAGGATGAATCTAATTTCGAATTAGTTCACAATCACCTGGTTATATGAATATGTCCATAAAGCTATCCTAATGAGGAAAATAGATTAATTTTTTTATAATTTTGAAAATCGGTCACCGTGCTCTGCTAGCTTAATAGTCTTAAAAATATTGAAAGAGGGATTTGATATGGTTTCAGTAGGAATATTATATATTGGAATAAAATATAGTGAACTTTTGATGAAATTTTATAATAATAAAATAGATGAAAACAAATTTTAAAACAAAAAATAGCTGTATTATCTATGAAAGTTATCAACAATTTAAAAAATAACTAAATGATTCTTTTAGCTCCATACTATTATGAATATGTTCCGATATTCCCGAACAGTACTGCCCAGTATATTTTATCGTTTCGATTTTACTGAAATTTAATGGCTACAATTTCGATTTTTTTACTGTAATCTACTGAAATTTACTGGCAACGATTTCGTGGGTCATTACTAGGAACCCTGTTAGAGGCTATAAGTTTACTGTTAGCCACTGGTGCAAAAATGGTGATGTAGTGCGATTATTTCATTCACACTTGGTTGGACCTCAATCAATCAATCAATAATGTTGCTGGGGTAGCAACGGGTGAGACCAAGTCCCACCCCCCCTTCCCAAGATTCCCCTAGGGGGTGACTGCCGGTCCCCTGTCACTCGACTTATTCGACAGAATACCCCAGAGTGAAATGGAAGATTTGGATACGCCAAATCAGCGCGCTAGAGCCATCTCCGTTATCTAACGGCATGTTCTCCTGCTACCATTTCATTATACCAACGGTGAGGCCGTCTGATAAAACAGACTACTGGCTCTGCAGTGTCAGTGCCCTAGGAGAAACGCTGCTCACCCGCCGAGGCAGGCAAGATATCCTCCCAATTGACCTCTACCGTAGTCCGGTGGTGTTTTTTTTGGAAACCGCTGCCCCCTGGAGTCCAACCCAATTGGTGAGGCACCAGGCCGTATGTTGGGCCTGATGGGGCTATCCTCAGCACCCCAGGTACCCATGTCAACAAGATTCCTCTTGTTACGGTTGATGGGTCGCCGTCGCAAGAGGTTTTCGCCTGATTGCTACTCATGTTGACAAGAATCCTCTCGTCCCGTTGAATGAGCGTTCGTTCGAGGACTTTCACACGTTCCTCTACCTCGTTTACAGGAGAGGACCCGGCTATGATGTCTGGCGATAGGATCGCTTGGGGCTAGCCCCTCCCTGACGGACTAAGGCACAAGGTGCACCAAAGTTCCAGTTTTCGCTGGGCAAGCCCAGCTACCCATGTCGACCAGAATACTCCAGTCCCGTTTGATGGGTGTTCGTTCGCGGCCTTTTACACACACAAGAGTGGGGACCTCATGCTTTTAACCAGTGGTGTCTGGAATCACCTGAGGCTACTCCCACCCTGACGTCGTGAGTACATGGTGGGCTCACGACAGACTTGGTTGGACCTATGGCATTTCTTGATTGAGGTCACATGATATGCGATATCAGCGGCTATTTAGGCAAACAAACAATATGAGCGGCTCTTCTGTTCGCCAGCATAGGTTAGGTTAGGTTAGATTACATGTGAGTGGGGCGAATACCTCCCCTCCACTGCGACCCCAGATTGGTCTATTGTGGCTCACCCCTAGAGGTTACAGTTCACCGTACAATCCACATCTTTTTACAAAGTTCATGGTTGAATTGGGTGAGATTTGTCTGAAATCGATTGGTTCTAAATTGGTAAAGCCAAATGTGTCGAACCTTAGTCTTTTTAAGCTAGAGCATGAACATAATATGTGTGCAGCCGTTTCGTCTTCTAAACAACAGAACCGACAGTCCGTTTGTTGGTTCAGACCCATCCTTCCCAGGTTGTATCTTAGACGACAGTGTCCCGTAAGCAGTCCAGTCAGAATTCGAAGGTTACCCCTGTCACTCAAAAATTGAAATTGCTCGTTTTGGGTCAACTCTCACTACGGAAATCCGTAATTATGTTGGCGAATCATTATAAGTAAATACCAAGAAGAGTAAAGAGTATGTCTGGAACAATTCATGTTTTTTTGCCCGCAGAAAAACTATGAATTTTGTGCGACTTCCCCAACTCTCGTGATTGCCCAAATCCTGAAAGATTGGGTGAGGGGAATGGTGACCTGCAATGTATGTCTATTACAATAGATCTATTCTATATGGATATTATGATATATACATTTGGCATCCAGTGGCGACCAGTCTATTTTGATAACGCACATGTGTGCATGTGACTACGTGAATCTGACTATAAATCGTTACCTGCTACATAATAAATAATCTATCTTTTATACTTACTTCATCAGTGTTCACTATTATCTTGATCAGATTCAAATTATAAGTCAATACATAAGTATTCAACATGGTGGCAGCGGTGAAAGTGATAACAATATGTCATATTGGCTATGGATATCGTGGTTAAAAGTGCTATTTCGTTGTTGAAGTTTCAATAGCAGATAGCAGGTGCGCGATTTGTTATCAGTAAGGAAGCGGCCTTCTCGGATTGACTCGCTAGGAGTGAACTTGAGAGACATAAAGCCACAGACCACCCACCCTATAGACGGTTCACGACATTGCTTACTGCTGAAGATGAATACAATCGCCATCTGAAGATTCGTATCGGTACTATCGGAGGGTGGGGAGGTCCTTGAACGGGATGCGGGAAATTTGAATATGGATATTGCTCGGGAACTTTGAAAACTCGAAATTGAGTGGGAATTTTCTTTTATATATGGAATCTAAAGATTCGTATCAGTACAATCGGAGGGTGGGGGGGTTCCTCAAACAGGATGCGGGAAATTTGAATCTGGATATAGAGCGGGAAATTCATAAACTTGAAATTGAGCGGGAAATTTAAAAACTTGAAATTGAGTAGGAATTTTGATGTATTCAAATGTTTTATGGTTTAAGTGTGTTTAAAACCTCAACAACACTTATTTATGTTACACATACAAAATCTCGAAATTTCAAGTGCAGGGTGAAGTTTCAGTAAGGAAGAATATGGAAACTGAATAACACAACTTTTTCGAAGTGCAGGGAGACGTTTCAACATAGAAAATAATGGAAACTTCATAACATAACTTTTTTTATTGATGAGCATTTATACTAAACACCCTGTTCAATAACATGTTTAGGTTGTTCGGCATTTTTTTCCTAATCCTATCAGAACGAATTTTATTTGCTTGGAGCTTCACTTTATTCGATCCAATGATATACAATTTGAATTTGCCTTGTATAATTTGATTCATACGATTACACCAGATATGTATCAATGTTCTGCCAGTTAATTTAATAATTGATTTAATGATATTCACTTTATGTTCCTCTTTGTTGCAAGTCAGAATCAACATTGATATTTATTATGCTCTCGATTTGATCAACTTAATATTTAGAATATGGTTGCTGATTCCAACAAATATTTATTATTTTGAAAATAACATGAAATGATACAACAAATATAGAAGTAGAATAGCACAATCTTCAATGTATCAGAATCAGAAACTTTTTTTTATTCCTGAATGGTATAATCCTTTGTGATTTTTTTAGTATCATCTTGATGAATAGAAAGTTTTTTCATAGTAAGGAACATACTTTCACATTCATCATCATCATGAAATACTTTCTGTGAAGTGATAAAGTGGTATTGAAGTGGAGAATTTTGAAATTTCCTATAAATTGATGGGATGGTGGATTGGTGTTTTGAGCCAAAGGAGGGAAGATTTGTATTTCGTGCAAGATAATTCATTCAATATTCGTAGCAGAGCGCTTTCGACTGTTAAGTCATCATCAGTGCATACCTGTAAGTAAGTCATCTGCTTTCAGCTATTGGAAAGAAATTGATATTGAAAATTCGAAAAAATTTCCCGAAAAAATTTTTTTGAAAAAATATTTTTGATAAATTTTTCAGGAAAAATTGTGTGTGATCAATTTCGAATCCAGCTTCACATAAAGATTCAAAAAATTTAATAATATTCAGGGTGTTCCGTTCGATTAAATTGTCGCAGACATCAGAACTCAAACGTGGATCACCCTTATATTCAATTTCCACTTATAAATGTGGAATATCAAAAATGAAAATCGGAGTGTTTCAGGAAATTTCTCATAAATAGACAGTTTGGCTGGAAATGAATTCATTCCTGTCATTTGCACAAT